GTAGCACTTGCAACTAGATCGACGCTAATGCGCTCTAGCTGAATATCAATTTTGGTTGTAAATGTTTGTTCCCATTTATGAAATGCTTCATGGAGCTCCGGTTATACCCATTCCCAGCGCTTACAAATTGCCTTCCAACCATTGACCAATGCAGAAATTTCAGGCAATGTGAAAATTTAACCATTTTGGAGAGGCTAACCATACTTTGATTTTTATGAACTGCAAATGACTCTTTTCAACAATGGCTATACAACTCCCCTCCACCCGTTGTTGATAATTTCTCACTGGCCTGTACCCAGCCTCTTGGGTGGCAAGGGGCGCGTGTAAGAATCCAAGATGAGACGGCCGTGTGCCGTAGTTCCACATTTCGTTCATTCCCTGCCTCATGGTTGGTGACGACAGGTCGTCCGTTCCTACAGCATCGAGATCCCGTTTAGGGTAAGAGAGTAACTGGAACTTTAAACGTGACCGTTGAATCCGTCAAAGGTGATATCTGATCCGAGTAAATAATGAGCCATATTCCAACAAGCCTAGCCAATATGGATACTATGATCTAAATGGCCGGCACCTCCAGCCATGAGTGGAAGTTAAGACATCACCAGCATCATGGTACCCCAATCACGTCGTGCACAAGAACCAATTGGTTGGGTATTACGTGAGAAGAGAGATGCCCAACATGAAGTCTCGATCCCCGGTTGCCAAGCTGTCGGTAGCATGCGTATTCTCTTCTAGAGTAGCTCTTTAACATGTGCTGCTCGAATAATTGCTGGGCTGGCTTTTGACAGTTTATTAGGCAGACGATCCCCGCTTTCCGCTTGTGCAATATTTGCAATATAGTTACCGGACCGCAACCCTCAAGATGAAACCGAAGACCTTACTCCCTCACTATTAGCTCAATTTGACAATGTTCAAGTCGTGGCGATGACAAATGACGAGTGTCATACAGCACAATCCTTTAGTTAAAATTCGAGATAAATTGCACGTGCAAAAAAGGGAAGACAGTGGCAAATCATGGTCATATTCCCTAAAAGCCATCAGAATATCAAATCGAACGAGAATTCAATATTCCAAGGTGGGCGGTTGGGATATTAAAGCAGCCTCCTATTTAATTTTCTCTATGCTTGTACCTGAATGCAAGCTAAATGTGGAGGTTCGCAGTCATGCAACTTTGGACAGAGTTAGATACCCACCTATCTTACTTCTGCGCTTGGACCTAACCAGCAGCGGCTAAAATCGTGCAGCCAGAAAGTACCTACCTATACTCGTACATATTCGACCGTGTATAACATTTGCTGTTCGTGACTACGGTACTACATACCTATTCGTCCCACCGCTTCGCTTATTTGAGCATCGGATCTGCAGTCAGCTATACCAGGGTTAGCACAGCTCAAGATCCTTCAAACAAGGCCAATGGGATTCTCCTTCACAAACATTCGTGAGGGCACATGGAACCCTTGCATTAGTTTCGAAGTGCCCTGTAACTGGCGGAATCAAGCCCGTGTCAACGGTGGCTGGGGGAAACTACCCCAATCTCAGGTTTCTGATGATACAAGTCACGTGCAGCTTAAGGCTTAGTCCATCATTGTGTATGTTTTTCCAACCTTCGGGTTAGGACAAGTCCTGCATGCAGGGTGCGACACTAGTCACAGGGAGGCTCGACTTAGTTGCTACGTGGCTCAGCGTTCGGATGACTCTAACCCTTTGTCTTCTTTCATAATTGAGGGGTGCTTGTAATAATTCTTGCCTGCCGACCTACCATGCGTAATCAAGTGAAGGTTTCTGCGTCAGAGAGCATTTTGATAAATTCCCTTGTCTAGACACCGTTGTTAAGCGTCGGTAAAACCTGTCAGGCGCTGTCTGACTTTGCTGACCCAGTAAGAACGCCATATATCATTAGTTTGGAGATCGCGGGGAACTGAGACCTGTTAATCAGAGATATGTTTATGCACAAAAAGGTCATACTTCCTTAGAGATGGGATGGGGAACCTCGTGGAGTCTGTTTACTGTCCAGACAAGTTTACTACATACAGGATGTGGTGAATAATGGCTGATTATTTGCCCCAGAGATAGCACTATCTCTGTGAGACTAGCTATCTCTGTCTCGCAAAATGTGGGACCTCCACCAATCACGGCCATAGGCGAGGTGCAGTTCGCTCGAATATCTTGATCTAGCAACCTATGAATCATGGGACGATCGTAACCAGACTAGGACGATCGATACTAGTTCTGAGATCCATGCATGAAGAGCTTGTTCCAATAATACTCCACACCTAATTCTATGCCTCGGTCCCTCGGCCAGAAAATACATGACTCCTGATGGGGCGGCCCGTCATTTGCTTCTCGTCATGTCGTGTTGAGAAACAGGCATTGGCGATCGGCACTGTAGTTCCCGGCAAGAATAATTTTCATTGATCCAGTTATGTTGTTATATCATGGTTCTCGAAGAAACTGGGGAGTTTCCTGTTTACTACACAAGAAATCCAGCTAAGGATAGAGTTTCTAGATGTTACGGGTAAAATGAAATATCAGTATCAGTACCTGTGAAGATCAGTAAGAATGAGTTGATTGATTGGCTAAATCTGTTCTTAAATGTGACCAATAGCCATTGCTATGGCCATTTAATATTTATTGGGTTGAGTGTAACTACCGTTACCCACCGAGTCTTCTCTCTGGCTACCGACCCGAGTGTATGAGTAAATTGGCAAATATGCATTCCGATTCTTTTTTGCCTGAACCGAAGTATACATGTTTCGTGGCTTACTCTATGTCTGGTGGGTTTTCCTCGTACTATCACCAGCAGAAACGTTTTCAAACAGTAAAAAGATCAATTCTTCCACGATCCAGGCTTCAGCCTTCCGAAAAATATTTATAGACCGGAGTTTAGGCTTCAATGACATCCATCATGGTGTCCTGCGGGATTCCATATTCTCGGGACAGGGTTCTGAAAATCGAATGTTTCTACTTCTACCACGTTGATGAAGATGACTTCGGAACTGGAGAAAGGGGGTCGGGAAAGGGAGGGGGGTTGTCGTAATGGGCATGGTTGTTGGTAACGTTCTGGATGTGGCATCTAGGATTTCCCCCAATTAAAGTCTTGAATACTGCGTTCATCATTTGAGGTCATATTGCCCGCTAGTACTGACGCGCCTCATCTTTCCACCAAGCCTCACAAATCTCCACTCAATGCATTGGTGAGAATTCCATATAAAGTGAAATAGTTTTCTCGGCTTTCGCTGCACGATTGCCAATAGAATAAATCAGGACCAAGGTACGAATGCAACTGTGGTAGTCCGTTAGAAGCGTTCAGTTGTGCCACAAGCACAACTAAGCAAGTATGTGTGGCAAACGGTTTTTATGTCTCACAAACATCTGCTCTTCCAGGGATTCGTAGCATTTTTCCAGCTACATCGACTATAGTACGTACGTAAAGTCTAAGGTCTCCATCCGGTCTTACAGAGTCAGTTCGATGATGAAACGGCAGATGCCTCCGCCTGTAATGCTAGCCCTGGATGTGCATCAGCAAAAGGAAGGGAAGAAAATCGTGGAAAAGCATAGCCATAGATATGTGGCCAGGAAGTACCATCACTACTAAGTGTTCAGGTATATTAGTGGTGGTCAATTCTTAAACTGGGTAATGGTAACCCAGGTTATGCAACATCTTGGCACTACCTTGGCACCTTGGCCTTCATGCTGATTGGCCAGTATCATCACCCAACTTTAACGTAACCCAGAACTCATTACCGCACTCTCGATAGGTGATACAACCATCGCCCTACTAATGGTTGCACTCCTCGCAGAGGACTGGGTTCAGAATTAAACAGTGAAATAACTTAGCTAGTGAGATTTTGCCAGCAGAAAGACTTTGATGCGGCTTTGAATAGAGAATATCAATCCATGATTTAAACTTCGAAACTGACCTCCACAGGTTGCAATTCAGAGCCTCAAAGAATATTTGATACAGTCGTAGCCATCTGGTACGTTGTGAGGTGCAGTCAGGTTGGAGTGTCACAGTAATGATCTCTCAGTCGATATAAGTTTGGAATCACGTGATTTGGCAGTACAGTCCTAGGTACTACCTGAGGTAGGTAGTAGATATCCTGTTCATTACTCCTTTAAACCTAGAGTGTTTGAGAACAAGTAGCCTTGCTATCGCTCTTTGTGGTTATGTTTCAGTCTGCGGGTGATACCATTTTTTGCTTTGTGGCGCAATATCAAAATGTCAAGTCGCCAGGTATGGGAGATGAGACGTTGAACAAAAGCCTCATTGTTTACTTAAATTGGTCCTTTAACAGAGTCAGCTGAGTATATGTATAAATACTGATAGGGCATACCATTAGAATAAATATCATAGTCGGTCGCCTGGAGCGAGCACAACATTGCGGTGAGACAAAATGTCTCTGGATATTCTGATAAAATGCTGCTAGGGAGAAGATCAATGTCCAACATCGAAGGAAATTTGCCTCTAACACACAACCGCTTTGAAGAAGGGCTGTAGTTGGTGAGGATGCATCGTAGAAGGATATATTATTCCCTGGAGACCAGTCTAAAGACATCTTGGTTGAGTAGTCTGATGGTACAGTAATGGAGGTAGTGGTGCTTCTCACTCGATTCGAATCGGATACAGTTAACATGTGACCACTAATGCAGCAATACTAGGAGAACGGTATTTTATGCCACGTTCGAGGAAGTGACGTATGTGTGAAAGACTTGATACAAGGTCTACGTTGTATAAGCGTATAACAGTATGGGGGCGCTATTACTGAGGAAAAGTAATGATGAACACTAAAGAACTGATGAAGGTACGATGAAGAGCAGTTTGATACTACTTGAGTTAATCTGGTTGGTTGTGTATAGACTAGGTTGTGTAGGTGTGTGCAACTTCCTATTTGGGAATAGACCTGAATCCTCTGGTGGTGCTTGCGCCAGGGATGCTAGCTATCGTACAGTGGGACAGGCTATACCTACAATTGCAGCTCTATTTCCGCATATAATAAATATTAGCCCTGATGGTCTAGAGGTATGATTCTCCCTTCGGGATTAAGCCGAGTGCCTTAGGCATTCAAGATTGGGAGAGGTCCCCGGTTCGACTCCGGGTTAGGGCCTTAATTTTATTATTTTTGTTTCGTACGTTAGTTATAGCCCAGAACACTAACCTAATTGCCTATCCCTCACATGAATTGATACGAGACCACGTAGAACGAAATGCAGGACCAATACCTTTGTATTTCGGTAGTTGGTTACATATTATTACTGTTGCTTTTCTACATTGCAAGCAGGTGCCATGCCATCATCTCACAATAAATAAATCTTTGGGTGGGGGGGTGGGGACTTACCTGCTGCTCATTAGCCCTAATTGAAGGTATGGGTTAGATTTCATAATTGGATGACCTTAAGCGAGTCCATTGGCATCAGGAGGCACAGGCCAGTATTATGCTGCTGATCAATGGATATCGACTTTGATAAGCACTGTGTCTCCACTCGATCGATCGATTATTATTATAGTGTTGGTAACCAAAAATGACGGTCATGCGAGAGATCGAATTTGGCAGGTAAATCACATAAAAAAAATTACCGATTTGCAGAGAAATAAGTACACAGTCTCTTCTCAGAAAGGCCCTGGACAGGCACAGCTGGTCTGTATAACTGAAGCCATTTCCAAAAAACGCGGAAATCGCAACTAAGGAGTAGGTATGTGGGGGCGCGCATTATCCGGTTTTCAAGAAATCACTAGAGCAGCTGAAGGGCCTATTTAGAGCTTTCATATCAAGCTCAAAATCTATTCAAAAAGCTGCCGGTAAATTCACAAGTAATGAGTGCAATTATCCAGGTGAAGGATTTTGGCCATTTTGGCTATGGTTTCACGTGACTTATTTACCAAGTTTCAGCCGATGTTTTATTTCAGCCTCATTCCTGCGATCTAATGGCACGCTTGTAACATACCGTCCAGGGAATAAGTTGGATTTAATTCCCTACCGCCGGTGCCCACGCAAGGAAAACGAGGCTAGCTGAACATACGCTCTTGTCCTATTCCTATATCTGAGACCTTACGTTGCCTAATGGCGTCCTAGGCCAATGGGATTTGTTCTGGGAAGATGGGTGTTAAGTATGTATTTTGCTCGGGCATTAGAGGGTATAGTAAAGCAAATAAGATGATAGAGAAAGGCCCTGGTCGTAAATGCAGTTTTTGGTACCAATAAGTATAGGCTTTGGTTGGGACTATATTTAAATTTGTAATCTGAGAAAGTCCCTAGAATCTTCTGTTCTATGGAGGGGCCCCTTTGCATCATAAACAGCCTCCTATTGTAAGACTTGCTAAGGTACAAATATAACGGTAGAGACTGGTAGTCATGACATGCTATCTCTGATGAATATAGGCACTGCGGTAGCCTGGCCTCGAGTTCACGTTATCGGACATTCCACCTAGTATCTTGCGCTCTATGGAGAGCCATTTGGGGAGTCCTCGTTCGCCTCATGAGGTGCCAATTTTCTTGAGATGTTGCTAAAGCAACAGAGTCTATGAGCAAGATTGGAGGAGGTTAGAGGAGGGAGACAGAAATAGCATACAAGACGGTAAAGAAGGGTCGTGGTCATGGTAGTCTGTCTCTGGTTAGATGAATATAGGCGTTATGATAGCCGGTGGTAGCTTGTGGGTCCTTCGGTCAGACTCAAAATTACTACCTATGCATAATACTTATCCTGCATCCCTCCTCCTCGTGTGTGCGTGTGCATAAACAGCTCTAACATCATACCACCGAAAGAATTCTAGATTCGATCTTGGTTTTCAGGTTCCGAGCCTCACCTTATTAGACGGCTTTGGTCTGTCAAGGGGGTTTGTTGGGATGACAGCGGAAATGTGAATGTACATTCATAAGTACAAGCAAGAGAGTCTCAGAGACATCAAGATCTAGATATCTCAAATGAGCGATAGAAGAGTCTCGTCTAAGTATTTCTGGGGTTTTTGGATGTTTGAACTTCCCGTTTTGGATGTGAGTAGTGTTTGGAGCACATGTTGGGTTTGGATTGTCAAGGATAAATAGATAGTTCCGATAGGTATACTATAGGAAATATAGATTTAGAGGTAGACTTCTTTTTATCTTTTACAAAACTCAGTACTCGTGTGTACCTGGGAAGTATGAGGAGCCACCCGGAAATCTGAGTGAAGGGGAGTTAATCTGCTCCTCTTCGCAAGAACTATATGCAAAATATCTTTCTGCTGAAAGACCAGAAAAGAAATCCATCTGGGACTAACAATAACCAAACATAGTGCAATCCGTGACTTATGAAACTATGCAGGGAAAGTAATGAATTTAGGAAATCGCTCGATATCTGTCTTTATCTCAGAGGTAGGGAAAGAAAGGCTCTACAGAATATCCCCGGGGTCCTCGACTTGATTGTTCTCTCTCTCATCCAAATGACATGAAGATAAGCGTGGGCGTGAACAGGCTTAGCTATAAGACCTATTTATACGTACATCTGTACTGGGTGGTTCATGAACACGCTTAAAGACCTTTCCCAGTGTGCCAACGGTATGGTGAATGGACTGTCATGTATGGCCAAGACGATTACCCTGAAATTTCTAATTTTCTCACTTTAAGGGTCAAAGTATTCAATTGTCTATCTAGATGTACGAGGGGTTATGCAACTAGACTAATCTAGGCGGTACCTTTGAAATTGTTGTTTATAAGTCAATTTCATATTAGCTCGTGCCTGGTTATGTGTTAATCATTCATAACCCGTTCTCTATGCGAGTGTTCCCCGCTAGCCTGAATATCCCTTTTCTATAAAAGACATTTCTAATCCGCAGAGGTCAATTGCTCTTAGTATCTATCTTTTTTAGGTTATTACCACCAAGCGGAAGGATCGAAATCTAAGCTTGTCCAGCTAATGAGCACAGAATTATCACCGACTGGTAAACCGGATTCACAGATGTTTACATCTGGGCTGGCCCACTGGTGAACGCTAGTGGTCCCCCAACTTACGGACGAAGTTATGTTTACGACCAAGTCTGGAATACATCTCTCTTCAATATATAGGAGGGGGGCCTGCCTTAGTCTCGGAATATATATAAAATCTGTAAATTGGGGAAGGGCTATGTATCTACTGCAGTGAATGAGGATGAGTGTTAGTACCTTATTGGGGGTAATTTGATAGGACTTCTACTGGATAATATAAGTACATTAGGCATTGAGAATAGAAACAGAGATGTTGCGTAAAATTTAGAGGTGGCTTTTGTGAGTATTGCCACACGGTATAGAGGCTCACACCAAAAGTCTTTTCCTTGGGAATCTTGCATATGGAATGCCTATGCACCTGCAGCTTGGCATTATTCACAGGTTCTAATGACAATGCATTTTATACTAGCCATTTAGCGATTTGGTTTACTTCTACTTTTGCTCGCTTCTTTGGGTGTGCAAAACGTCCCTTTGTTGCCTTATGCAGCGTCTGCTAAAGTATGCCAAGGCTACTTCGCCCAACTTGGCGTATGCATCACTAATGCAGCAGACTCCGCAAGACACACAGTATGGACATCACTACATTGCTGCATTTGATCTGGTTGGCACAAGCCCCTAAAGAGGGCTGCATTGCCATTGCAATCCGTTTTGGAGTATAATGCCAAGCTGCATACCGAACATGGCATTGCATATGCAAGATTACCAAACCAGAAGGAGGAAAAGACTTTGGGTGAGCCTCCGTATGGCAATGAGTTACCCTGAAAGTTTGGGTCTTCTGCTTCTCAATCTATAACGCATTATATAGACATCTCCATGGCGTTAAGCTTGGTTACTTTTCATGCATTAGAGTAATGGTAATTATGATAATCCTCCATCTCTTCAGAAACAGCAAAGACAAAGAAAACCGATGAACAACATAAACGCCTAGTAAACAAATATTGTTCCACAACACGAGAAATAGCTGCGAGAGAGCGAGAATATAGTGTGAGAGGTTACCTAAATCTAATCCTCTTCCTCATCCATCTCATCCATCTCATCCCACTCCCCCTCATCCCCACTCTCTTCTTCCGCTCCATCACTCCCACTTTCATCCTCACTGTTCACATAATCAATAATCTCATCCCAATCACTGTTCCCTCCCTCCTTCTCCCCTTCTCTCTCTCCCTCCTTCTTCCCCCGCTTCCCCTTCGTCACTTCCAACTCCTTCTTCCTCTTAACATTCTCTTCCTGCACCTTCCTCCGCTCATCTCTAACCTTCTTCCGTTCCCTCCACCTCTCCTCAAGCTCCTTCTCCTCTTTCCTCGTCTTCTCTAGAAAACTGTGATACAGCACCTTGCCATCCGCTAGTCCCTCCTCAATCTTGACCAGTTCCAGCGTCATACGGGGCCCAATCTCAGTTAACTTAACCGCATGTTTCTCGGCACCGCCGGTAGTATTAGTAGTGCGTTTTCGCTTTCCGGGATTTTTGGTGGAGCCGGAGAGGACCTCTACTTCAGCATCGTCGTCGATTTCGGATTCACTAGTGTAGCCGGAGGCTGCGAGGGAGGGATCTAGCATGTACTCGCTAATATCATCTAGCTTCCCTAAGTTAGGGACTGTGCCTTTTCCACCCTTAGCCTTCGCCCCCACCGTAGTGGAGGGCGAGGAGTTGGAGATTATTTTTTCTGCAGCATTAAGCCTTTTCAGTGCTTTTGACAACCCGAGAGCTTTGGTGCTGATGCTGTAGTGTCTGAGATCTATGAGATAATCACTATCCGAGCGCTCATCTTCAGGGATATTCGCTGCAGAGGCCTTCGGGATCCGGTTTAGGAGCATCACGCGACGGATTGAGGAGACGGGGGTATGTTGGGCTGAGATGGCTGGGAAGAGGGACTGGAACATGCTGATTATGAGTGCTTCATGGGGTGGTGCTCGTCCTCCGGGAGCACAGGGGGTGGTGGTGAAATTATTCATAACGAGGAGTGGGGGGGATAGGTATTCCTTCCCGATGGGAGTCTTTGGGCGCTTCATACTCCGGCGAATGTCCTTGCAGAGAGAGTACTTCTTCACGCGGAAGTGGAAAGTTGGGCCCCGAGGGGTGCGGGCTATGCGAAGGGTGGTGCTGCCGGAGGAGGGGTTACGGGAGAAGAGGAGAAATTGTGTTACGCCAA